AAGAAGAAGAAGAAGAAGAAGAAGAAGAAGAAGAAGAAAAAAGATTAAAAAAAAAAAAAAATGTCACTCACGATGTTATTGAGCTGCTGTTGCTTGCAATTGTTGTTCCTTGCCTGTGAATGCGTCGCTTTACCACATGGAAATATCAGCCAGCCAAAAGCTCCCCATTGCATGCACCGGTCACAATCAGAACAAGGAAGTGGACTCGGGCCCTGCAGTTGTTGTTCGCGTTTCCTTTGATGTTGGTCACGTGTGAAGAACTTGTTATTCAGTATTTTTATACAAATGCTTGCTTCTTGTTTTTTCTCGATTCGCCCGAGGTTCGATTACAGTGAAATGCTAAAACAGATTTTTGTCATTCAAAAGATTTTATTGTTGTTGTTTTTTTCCAGTCGAGTGTCTTTTAGGCTGAAACAATCCTGCAGTACTATATTTTTGCTTATTTAGAGTTTTTCTTTAAGTTTCAGAAAATATAATGGAGTTATGAACTTAATACTTGGAAACTGTATTTAAAAAACAACAACCCGTGAATTTCTTTTGACTCGTAAGTCTGATGAGTAGGATTTAAGATGCGCCTGTGCTTATATACAACCCGCTTCGAAGGTCGTGAAGTCGTTATCTTTCAGTACCGACACCATTTTGTTCTAATTATTCTTTAAAATAGGAAATCTAGATCCTAATTGTCCCACAGTTCCAGATTTTTTTCTTCTTTTTGTCAGCACGGCTTCACACGCTGGCATGTCCTACTTATGATAGGGAGTACACATTTGCCCGAATCATGTCTCTGGTAGATTTTTAATTCAGGGCAGTTGGATAAGAATAATTGAATCTTTTCTCGTAAAAATAAAATGTCCCTTTGACTTTCAGTTTTATTATATTATATATTTTTTAAAAATTGAATATAAAATGCCTCGTTGTTATAATAATAATACAAGTCTTGCTCTAAAATTCTAACGTCCTTGTATGTTACCCAAAACACAGAAATCATTTTTAGGAAGAAGAAATTATTGTCCATATTTAACTAATCAGTAGCATATATTTGTATAATTTAGTGTAAACCGCATAGAGCCTGCTGTTGAGCGGGGATATGCGCTATACAAATGATATTTACTATTTTTTATATTATATTTAAACACCCAAAGGGTATCTATGATTTGGGATTTATGGACATAGGACCACGGAACACGGACAGCGTGCAGAATATAGTGTTTGTGTTTTCCAGTCTATACCTTCATGCTTAAACAGAGAAATTATAAACTGTTTACAGAGAGATGCAGAAAAAGACACGCACATACACACGCACGTGGTCGCACATGCACGCAACATACACACAAACACACAAACACAGACATCAACACAGACAGGCACATACATACATACATACATACATACACACATGCTACATGCACACACACACACACACACACACACACACACACACACACACACACACACACACACACACACACACACACACACACATACACACAAGCAAAAACAAATACACATACACCCACACATACACAAACACACAATCTCTCTCTTACTTTCTCTCTCTCTCTCTCTCTCTCTCTCTCTCTCTCTCTCTCTCTCTCTCTCTCTCTCTCTCTCTCTCTCTCTCTCTCTCTCTCTCGGATTTTCCTGTGGCGTTCTCTAGACACTCGCTATGCACGCTCATATGACCTTATGCAGTTGCAAGCGCCGTAAAACACTTACAAGGAGAAAACAACTACAACCAAATAAACAAAACAAACAAAAACGGCAAAAAACACAAGAACTTCCGTTAAGGGATTATGATAGAATGTGATTTGTGACACTGTAGATAAAACTCGATAGGCCCTACTCACAGAAGTAGAAATGGTAACGTCATGGCCGATTCAGGAGCTCGTCATTAATTTTTGGGCATGTTGAGTTATTTGTATCGCATTAACGCTTATTCATTTGTCTTGTTTGGGTGAAAAAATACCCATTTATCTTGAATACAAATCGAGATATTTGCGAATGAAGGAGGTGGGGGTCACCTGGTTGCAGAGGTGAAACCTGTGAGAAGATGGCCGTCAAAGATGAGTTATTTCCTTAGTTTGAGAGTCTGTGAAAACTGAAAATTTACAAATTTTTGTGTGCCTTTGTTCAATGTTTGTCAGTAAAATCCACACAGAAATGTGTTTTTAAATAGGCACGTTGAGCTAAAAAAACGAAAATTCGAGGAAATTTCACAAACTTACAGAAAAATACCAGTTTCTTCACTTTGACTATTTTGACAAGTGTCTGCTTTCACCTCGCTGCCTCACAAATGGTAACGTCATAGTGATTCTAAAAAGAGCATAGTATCGAAAGCCAATCTGATTGCCAGACTTAATCGGACTCCACTCCAGTGGTTTGACCTGACTTGCCCAATGCATTGGCATGATTCAGGAAATTAAGGCGAACATAGCTCACATTACTAATCTCTCTGCGAACATTCTCAGACAGGTTTTTAATTTCGTCGTTTAAATGCTCGTTACAGTTCTAATCTCCACCTCTGGAATAATCTGCAAACGCAGTGAATATTACTGATTTTTTTCAGACTTCACGTACTCTGACCTCCTTACTTAATTCATTTTGTTTGTTCGTAACAACACGTTTGCTCAAATCGTGTGCTTTGAAAAATATTTCATGGCCAAGGATTACAAAGGGATCAGTTGTCAATGTTTAGCTCGTTCGTTGCTGAGACTTTTCCATCTACGTCTGTACAGACTAAATAAAATGTCAGTTCAGTAGAGTTATTAAGAAAGACATAATCAACATCTTTACGTTTTGTTAAGAGTAAGCAACTGCATAATATGTAGCCTCAGGTCCTTAAACTCCCTCTATAAACCGGAGCACCAAAATGTCAGAGACTTCAATCCAGTTTAGGAGAACACAAGCGAGTGTAACAATATAATATTATACGTCGACGTAGCATTGAGGAAGGTGAAATAACAAAATAAACCATGACAGCAGACCTTCAAAATCCATCGAATAAGATACAAATGTCACAAGACAACATTCCGAACTGAGCCAGAAGTAGCACAATATCTTCACCTAATTCTAAATAAAAAAGGTGGCTTGGTACAGGCGAACGAGTTTACTGTAAAGAGGGTTTTTTAAAATCTCTTTCTGTTTTTTGTTTTTTGTTTTTTTTTCATTTTGTGAGGAGTGTTTGGTAGTGGGAAAAAATGAGACGACATTTTAAATTCGTGGGAAGTTATATAAGTCTTATTATTTTGAGGGCTCAGACAAAGAAACGACTTTCATATACCACGGGGTATCAAAGGGAGATACAATTGTCGGACGTGGGTCAAGTGTGTTGTTTGAACATTATGTTGTGCCTTTCGAAGGTCTCTATGACTCCGACTATCCATCTTTTTCTCGGCCCTTTATTTGCCATGAGGCCATGGAAATTCATGTTGTGGGCCTTAGAGGCTGGCTGTCGTGTTCCTATGCTCACTGCATATTCAAACCACCTTAGCAGTCGTTCAACATTCCATTATGTCTTTAAGGACGTAGTGGTCAAATAATAGTTCTGTAAGGTTGTTATAGCCACGGGGGGGGGGGGGGGGGGGGTTGGGGGAGATAAGGTCCCACTTTTGTAAAATGCTCGCAATTGGTATTCGTCCAAATAGCCTCCGACAACCAAAGTCCAACTCCTGCCTTCTCGCGGTGGAACTGTTTCCACTGACAGGAAAAAGGGCAAAGGCGAGTCGCTGGCGGCTCAAAACCAGCTGGCTGCTTCGGGCAGACGAAGCTCGACAGCCTGGGATGGCAGTTCGTCTAGGAGAAGGAAAGCCCTGACTTAAAACCCCCGCTGCCTTGCGGTCATATGTATTAAGGCTATGGAAGTGAATCCGGAAAGGAAATCCGGAGTGGAGTCCCTAAGACGGTTGGGAGCTCAGTCGTGACTTCCTTCTGGCAATTCCTGCAGCTTTTTCGGCTCCAAATGTAATGCACAGCATTCCACTGGACATCGTCGGTAACGCCGAGAAGTAGGGCAATAGTCTGGGCAGCACTGGACCTACATACTTCCACCCAGGCCTGCGCCCCGGAGAGGTCACTCCATTCTCATCAAAGATGAAAGCACAACACGGATGACATCTGTCCTTAAAAAGTCTGGTCCTCTCAACTTGCACCTCCTACTCTGCCAGCATCGGCTTCGGTGGGTCGGCCATGAATGATGGACGCATTCTGAAAGACATTCTATACGGCGAACTGGGAGCAGGACATGGTCGCTCAGGACGCCCAGTACTGAGCTACAAAGACGTTTACAAGCGCAACTTGAAGACAAAAGTATAGATGCAGGCCATTGGTAAGAGTTTGCTACGGATTGTGGAGTATGGAAGTGCATAGTACGCCAAGGAGTACGCCACGGCGAAATGAAAAGACAAGAACAAAAAATGGACAGAAGACGATACAGAAAAGGGAGAAAAGCACAATCAAAATCGAGCCTTCGACCCGCCTTCAGCCTTCTTCTGCAACAAGTGTGGCTAAGACTGCCATGCTTGAATCGGACTTTTGAGCCACTCCAGACGATGTTCTCGACAGAAGTGACGTACAGGGGCAGCCATTGTCTCCCGATCAGTAGGAGCCGACGACGACGGACAAATAATATCCAAAAGGCAGACCAAAAGTAATATTGCACCATATTTCGAGCCATAAAAAAACCTATCAGAAATACAATTTGATTTATTCCATACTAAGCAGTAGTTGCCTGCTTTTTACCTTTAAAAAATACAACATCTCAAAAAAACGGAGTCATGCCCCTTTCTTTACAACGCGTATGCAGGCGAAGTCGTTAGACTTGAACTGTCGCCATCCAGGAGTTCATAAATACCAATAGTACCTGCTATATACGATCAGCTAAGAAGAACATCTCATAGTCTTTGCCCACGGCTACAAAGAATGCAAACATTTCTTTCTCGCGAATAAAAAACCAACTTCTCTGTACAAAATTTCGAAGTTATTTTTTCTAAAAAAGAAATCGATCAAAGGCGCGCAAAATGGATATTTGCAATTTCCCAGGAGCGGCAAACTGTAGAGGTCACCACACTTTGGGCGCCATTCCGTAACTAATTTTACCCCTGGCATCAAGCGCACCCCACATCCTTTAAAAGCAAATACCTCGACTTTTATTCAAGATAGATAGGTATTTTTTTAAAAACAAAAGCAAATGAAAAGAACGTATTGCAATAAGTTATCGATACCTCAATATTATAATATGCTCATAAAATTGATGATCAGCGTTTGATTCCATTGTTTCGTGGCACACACGATAGCGTAACTCTGATGAATGTTCACCTGGCATTTAGTACACAGACAGTGACTTACTTAATTAAAAACTAGCTGTGTGGGCGCCTCCAGCACG